TGACTCTGTGTCTAGTGAGCAGACAGTTTCTGTTCGTGGTAGGCCGGCTCGTGGTCGTCCTCGCCGTGGGACTAAGGTGGTTGGTCCTCGTTCTCATGCTATGGCCACATGAAGCCGGGGTCCACAGGAGCATGTGGCGTTGGTGTCTACTGTTGATCCATCTGAGCCCACGTGTTACTCCCAGGCAGTCAAGCATCCAGAGTGGCGTGAGGCCATGGATGCTGAGTTTAATGCTTTGCTTCAAAATCAGACCTGGCAGCTTGTTCCCTATACTCTAGGGATGAATGTTGTGGGCTGCAAGTGGGTATTCCGTGTCAAGAGGAATGCTGATGGATCTGTTGAGCGACACAAGGCCCGGTTAGTTGCCAAGGGCTTTAATCAGATTGCGGGCAAGGATTTCTTTGAGACGTTCAGTCCGGTTGTTAAGCCCACCACGGTTCGTCTTTTGCTTTCTTTGGCCTATTCTCGTGATTGGTGTATTCGGCAGCTGGATGTGCACAACGCCTTCCTTAATTGGCGTTTGGCTGAGACAGTGTATATGCGTCAGCCTCCGGGATACGAGGACAAGTCAGTTCCTACTCATGTTTGTCATCTGCAGCGCTCTTTGTATGGGCTTAAGCAAGCCCCGCGTGCATGGTTTACCCGATTACATAACTTTCTTCTTTCCGTTGGCTTTACTCCATCGAAGACTGACGTGTCTTTGTTCATTTATTCTGATCATGGTGTGCAGCTTTATTTTCTAGTTTATGTCGATGACATTCTTGTCATGGGCTCGGATTCTAGCCGAGTTACTGGACTGGTGGATCGGCTTGATCAGGAGTTTAAAATTCGAGATATGGGGCCCCCATCTTTTTTTCTAGGGATTGAGACTGTCTCTATTTCTGATGGTATTCTTTTGTCTCAGCGCCATTATGTTCAGGATATTCTCAAGCGTGCAGGGATGGTTGACTGTAAGCCGGTTTCTACCCCGATCTCAGTTGCCCGCTCTGAGGACAGTGATGTTGCTCCATTTGCTGATCCTACGCACTATCGTGGGCTAGCTGGTGCTTTGCAGTACTTAACGGTGACTCGTCCTGTTTGTCTTTTGCAGTCAACCGGCTATGTCAACGCATGCAGGCTCCTTCTACTGCCGATTGGTCTATGATGAAGCGGGTGTTGCGTTATGTGAAAGGCACTCTTGGCATGAGGCTGTGTGTTCGGAAGTCTTTATCTACCTCGCTGCATGCGTTTTCTGATTCGGATTGGGCTGGTAGTCCGGATGATAGGAAGTCCACCAGTGGTTTTGCAATATTTTTGGGCTCTAATCTAATCTCGTGGTCGTGCCGGAAGCAACGCACTGTGGCGCGTTCTTCTACTGAGGCAGAATATAAGGCCTTAGCTGATGTGGCGGCTGAGGTGACGTGGCTTGTTTCTCTGCTTAAGGAAATCGGTTTCTCTCCAGCTTCTCCGCCTAGTCTATGGTGTGACAACTTGGGTGCTACGTACCTGTGTGCCAATCCGGTTTTCCATGCTCGGACTAAGCATGTGGAAATTGACTATCACTTTGTCCGAGACAAGGTCGCCAAAAAGGAAATTCAGGTTCACTTTATTTCCACGAAGGATCAGATTGCTGATATTTTTACCAAGCCACTTGCGTCGACTCGATTCTCTCTTCTTCGTGACAAGCTCAACATTTCGACTGCTCCACTTTGAGCTTGAGGGGGAGTGTTAGGACTCTTGTATTAGTAGTTGGCTAGGACTCTTTACTTATCTCCTTATATTGTTATTGTTCGGCTATAATTGGTTACGTTGAATATACAATCCTCATCTAAACACTTAAATTTTATTAGGAACAAATTCATATTGCTTAAGTGATCACATTGCTTTAAATAAAGTACAAATTTGGCAGGAATAATCAATCTATGATACTATTTTTAGAATAACTGTCATAGACAAAGTTTTTTTTTTTTTTTTTTTTTTTTGTTTTAAAAATATATATTATGGTTTAATTGAAAACTTTAGAATGATGAATGATTTAAAAAAAAAGGTAAGAAAAAATAATTAAAAATTAAAGCACATTGCATGCATATCCTAAATAAAATGCTAAGGTTATTCGCACATTAATATGAAATTTTCTCTCACTTTTAAAATGACATATCACTAAATTTACAGTTAATCACCACTCAGTCTTTCATCTATGTAAGATGTGTTCTAAGCAGACTCTAACTATAGGAGATACCTTTTTAAATTGGATTTTCCATAGGAGTGGGAGTTCAAACTCCCGACCTCCGATCCCTTAAAGGGCAAGAGTGCACAACCACTCACGCCAACCAAGTTGGTTTCTTTAATTTCTTTCCTCTTTAAAAAGTGATCTCACTTTAATACACGACTGAAAATCAACGTTTTTCCGACCACCCAAAATTTTGGTCGCAAAAACTAATTTTTTTTCATTTTTTCAACGGAGGGTAACCGTGGCCGGAATTCCGACCACTTTAGAGAGTGGTCGGAAAGTTTTCTTGACACTTCAAATTTGTTAAACTTATCTTGTTTCCGACCCACTAGGCTGCCTTCCCATCAGAGAAGGTGACGGGTCTGTCTTTTTTGTTTTTTGTTTTTTTAAATTAATATTTTGATTGTTAAAAAAATGAATAATAAATATTAATATTTGACCACATTTAATGATGGTAGTGTAAATATTACTTTTCTATTTACACTACCTATAAAGCTATTACGCTTATTAAAAGGGTGGTGTAAATAACAAATTGGGTGGTGCAAATAGAATTTCCCATTTGGAAAATGCCATTTCTTATTTGGAGAATGCAAGTCAGTGCCCTTTCCTTTGGTGCTTCTTTTGGAATTCAGCGCGGCCCGCCCTTTTGTTAATTAGCGCGGTCCGCCCTTTTGTTAATCAGCGATGCTCGACGTGTCGAGTAGTGCTAAACGCGAAAACAAATATTCTGAAATTTTTGGACGCGAAACTCGACACGTCCAATCCTTTGTAGCAGTCTCTTTGGTCCATTTTTGTTCCAAACTTGTTCTAGAACTTCCCTTACTATTGTACTTGACCTAAAATGATTTCAAAATCTTAACAAACACGGTAAAATATTCAAAACAAGTGTAAACCATATCTAAATGCTAAAACAAAGGAATATGCAATTAAAGTACCAATTTCAAAGACTTGAACCCAACAAATATTAACAAATGAACACAAAAAATATGCACAATTAGACTCACATCATATATATATATATATATATATATATATATATATATATATATATATATATATATATATATGTATATATATATATGTATATATATATATGTATATATATATATATGTATATATATATATATATATATATATATATATATATATATATATATATATATATATATATATATATATATACATACATATATATATATATATATACATACATACATATATATACATATATATATATATATATATACATATATATATATATATATATATATATATATATATATATATATATATATATATATATATATATATATATATATATTGTTGGATATCCGTTGGTGAAAACCAAATAATAATCCAATAAAATAAGATTATTATTTTTTCTGAAAAAACAAGGGAAGGAAAGATGGAGAATTTTGCTAGTGTTTGGTGTTGGGTTTTTAGCAAGAGTCAAGTGATCACTCTTTCCTTAAAACCTTATTTGCCACCTCCCAAAAGTGCAAGGAGCGTTGTGGCCTAGGCTTTCCAGGATAAAACTTGTTGTGATTCAATGTTTGAGCACCCAAACAAGGAATCCGGCGAACAAAGCACGGTTATGAACACAATAGGCTTAAGAAAGAGTAGAAGCAGAGAGTTTTGAGGCAAAAATGATATTTTCTTGTTGTGTGTGTAAATCTCTACTGACCAACTCCTTCTTATATAGGAGTGAGAGATTAAATAGCTTTTAATTTAGGCATTTAGGGACACCCCTACAACTCATGTAACAGCAACCATTAACATAAATTTTAATTCAAAATTTAAAATTGGAATTAATTCAAAGTATTAACTGAATTAAATTTCAACAATCACAAACAGGAGCTTCAGTTCGGCCATGACACGGCCGAACTTTCGGCCATGCATGTTATACCACCAAACAAGAAACTTCGGCCAAGGTGAACCCATTTCACTTAAGGCCGAAACATCACTCATGCATGTTTTTTCACTTAAGGCCGAAACATCACTCATGCATGTTTTTTCACTTAAGGCCGAAACATCACTCATGCATGTTATACCACCAAACAAGAAACTTCGGCCAAGGTGAACCCATTTCACCAAACAAGAGACATTGTTTTGGCCAAGTTTCATTTCGTGTGGCTGAATTGGGATTCAATCTTATTTTGGGATTTGCACCCTTTGCGCGCGAGAGAGAGCCTCTATGCTATACAATTTAATAAGCTTAAAATGAGCACTTGTATAAATAGTGGGGCAAATCCTCTTCCCAAATCAATGTGGGACAAAAGCTCACTTTTTCTCTTATTTTCCAACTCAAATGGGTCTACTTTGAGAATCAATATCGCATCCACCCATTATCCATTTTGAGCGTACAATATATCAATCTCTTCGTCTCACTAGTCACTACGAAGAACCCGAATCCACTTTGACCCGACCCAAATCGGAAGTGGACCCCACTGATAAATGTACCACAAAATAGCCACTTAACATGCCATTTTACCTCTTGCATGACATGTGATCTATTAAAATGACATTTTAAGTGGCTATTTTGTGGTACAATTATCAGTGGGGTCCACTTCCGATTTAGGTCGGGTCAAAGTGAATTCGGGTTCTTCGTACTAAGACTTGATTCAAGCTGTTTTCCCTACAAAAAATTATTTCATTTCCTAGTCTTGGTCTTACCGCCCTAAGTAGTCTAAACTAAATTTTCCTTTACCCTTTCCTACCTGACTACTAGCTCCTATAAATACTATACTACTTGCATTCTCCAATTTTTATCCTAGCAATTAAGTTGTTCTGATCTTCTCATCTACCTTCTTGAATTCTCTGAATTCTCCTCTAACTTCTCCATCTATCACTGCCCTTAGCTTCAACATTGTTAGTTTCTACTTTTTTTGCATTAACATGATGAAATCCGCAACACTTCTCCTCTTTCTTTTAGCCTGCGTTGCTCTAGTGAATGCTCAAAATCAGAAGGCCATTTTTATTTTGGCCGGCCAAAGCAACATGGCCGGCCGGGGTGGAATTAATTACGTCAACGCTACACCAGAAATCCCAAATGGCCAAGTATGGGATCATTATATTCCACCCGAATGTCAATCAAACCCCCACATCCTTCGCCTCAACGCGAATTTGACATGGGTAGTGGCAAACGAACCCCTCCACGCCGACATAGATTCTCCCAAGAAAACATGTGGGGTAGGACCCGGAATGGCCTTCGCAAACGAGGCGTTGAAGAGGAGGTCGTCCTTGGGTGTGATAGGCTTGGTCCCTTGCGCAAAAGGGGGGACAGGCATGTTCGAATGGGGTCGTGGTACAATACTGTACAACCGCACAATGAAGCGTGCCGCGGCTGCATTGCGGGGTGGCGGAAAACTTCACGCTCTCCTGTGGTATCAAGGGGAGTTTGAAGCGGAAACGGGTGTCGGCTCTTTCGCCATGGATGTCCCGAGGTTTTTCATGTCGCTACGCGAGGACCTTAAGGTACCCCGCCTTCCGATTATCCAAGTGGCTTTGCCACCCAATGTGTTGAGAAATTATACAAAAGAAATAAGAAACATTCAACTCAATCTCAAACTTCCTTTTCTAACCACGGTTGATGCCATAGGATCGGAATTGAATACCGCTGATCATGTCCATCTCACAACCCCATCCCAAGTCAAACTTGGCAAAAAGATGGCTATGGCGTTTGTGAATATGATCCATTAATTGACTAGTTATAATTCTGTTTGGCCTGGGTTTGTTGCCATCTTCTCCTTGTATTTTTTTTTTTAATTTTTTTTTTAAATTTGGGTATTGTAATGCAGTTTATAATGTAATGAAGCTGTGTTTGTATTTATTAGTGTTTGTGCAGATTAATTTTTATTGTTCTTGTATGTACAAATGCATGTTCTTGCAATTCAACTTTATCTAAACTTTTAATATTTAATTTTTTTTTTAAATTTGTACAAGTTATGATAAATACACACTGACAATTGGTTTACAAATTTATAATCATAATAAATACTCGTAATAATCTTCTATTCGAAATTTAACCTTTCACCAACTTCCAAGCTAAATAACTCAGTTTTGTTAGTTTGTTTATTTTCATTAATAGTGTTAATATCATCTGAGGTCTTCCGAGTATAGTGGTTTTGCCACGTTTAGTCCTAAACTTTCAAATTGATCATCTGTGGTCCTTCAACTTTCAAATTTAACCATTCGCGGTTCAAGTTAACCACACATGGTCTTTCAAGTTTCGAAATTTAACCAGCTATGGTCCTCTTGAAAGGACCATGGTTGGTTAAAATTTAATAGTTTATATATATATATATATATATATATATATATATATATATATAAAATTAAGTTCCAGTGCGGGTGAATGTTTTCCGTGTGGTTGTGCGGCGAGTAATGTGCGTGAGTTTTGTACTTAAGGTGCGTGAGACTTGTGCTTAAGGTGCATGAGGCTTGTATTTAAGGTGTGTGGGTGTGTACTTAATGTCAGTAGTTGTTGAAACTTAAGGTGCATGAGTTTTGTACTTAAGTTGTGTGAGTCTTGTGCTTAAAGTGCGTGAGTCTTGTGCTTAAGGTGCGTGGGTTTGTGTTCTGAAGATATTTTGTTTGTGTGCTTAATGTGCGTGTGTTGTGTACTTGTCAGTTTAATGCTTAATATGAATCCAACCGCACGGGAAGTCCCTCCCTCACCTGATCCGTAAATCCACTCAAAGAACAAATTTTCATTAGAGATTAAGCAATTAAGTGAATCCGATATCCGAAGTTGCGTATACAAGGAAGAAATACGAATAATTATACATTAGGTAGATGAAATGATTATTTTACCCTTTCATTTAAAGTCTACTTTACCGTAATCTAACGAAAGGATCTCAATTGGAAAGAAATTAAAAGTCAAGGGACGTAAAATGTCTAAATTAAAAGTCAAGGACTAATTTTGGAAAATCAATATAGTCGGATGACCATTGCTAGAATTATCTCTTTTTTTTAATCCATGTAGTATGATCTGGCAATTCAACTGATGATGAAATGTAATTCGATTTTCCTTAGGAGAGTACTTGCACAGATAATTATTCTTCGGAAAGCATTGTTTTTAAATTTTCATTTCATTTGTATACCTTTTAAGGTGGCCTATAATTACCGCTTGCGACCAACGAGGAGGGGCATTGTGTATATGAATTATGATGTTATTCTTACACCTATGTAGTAATGCCTATTCGTACTGTGTGGTTTACTATGCCAACTCTTTTTTAAGTAATTGATATTTTGTTATTGTTGTTTTATGCTTGGCTAGTGACTAGCCTGTAAAGACAAAACGTTAATATTTTGGAAAAGAAAGAAAAAAGTACAATCATGGCTGGCGCACTAGTTCCAAAAAATTTTGGTTGGAGCAACTATTTTATTGAAACACAATTCTTGCAAGGATATTGCAATATGGGGTAAATCTTTTTACTCTCGTGACAATAATTTTTTGGCTACAAAATAGCCCCTCATAAATTGTCATTTTATGTTACAAATTCTAACATAATGTTGAGATTAGGTTCGATAACATTGTGTACTGTCTTCTAGAGGTGGACGTTGATTTGGTTCGAGTGATATCTGAATTTTATTTCGAGTATTCAAAAAATGTTGAATGATTTTTTACACTCGATATCCGAATCAATTTTAATTCGAATTTGTTCGGTTCAAATAAATTTATTTCGCGTTAATTTAAATATACTTAAAATTTTATTTTCATCAATTTTAAGTTTTAAAATAATTTATTATTGTACTCTCATATTATATATCTTGATTATAATCATTTTATAGCATATAAATATATTATCTAAATTTGTAATATAGATGCCAATTAATTCGGCCACCTAAATCTTATCCATTCTCATCATGTTTAAACTTTATTTCTTTTACGCATTTTACTATTCTAAGCTCCAACATTATAAAAAGTGGGGAATTAAAAAAAAAGGATAGAATTGTGAACCTTTTTATTTAGGAGAATTAAATGCACTATGTTGATGGGTGGTTAAAGATGCTTGCAAAATATCTATACTCAGATCCTCATCGCCGGCCAAGATCATGTGGTCTAATGGCACGCGGGTTGGACTTTCATATGGGAAGTTGAGTTCGAGTCTTAGTGAAGGTGTTATTGGCTCTTTGTGCCCATCCCATCTCCATCCTCATTGGAGATGAAATTAAAAATCTTTCTCCATCCTATTCGCATTCCTGTAAAATTTTTGGGGACGAGAAATTTCTAGCGTTATTGGCTCTTTGTGCCCATCCCGACCCTATCCTCATTGGAGATGAAATTAAAAATCTTTCTCCATCCTATTTGTATTCCCGTAAAATTTTTGGAGACGAGAAATTTCTAGCGTTATTGGCTCTTTGTGCCCATCCCGTCCCTATCCTCATTGGAGATGAAATTAAAAATCTTTCTCTATCCTATCCGCATTCCCGTAAAATTTTTGGAGACGAGAAATTTCTTTCTCCAGTTAACCTTTAGTCAAATGATTATTTTTTAAAAAAAATAATTAATCATCAAATTAGTATAATTTATAATATTTAAATAATAGTTTTTAAATATTAAATTTTTAATAATAATAATAATAAAATACTATTTCGTAATTAGTATACTCCGTAATTATTATTATTATTACTAGTTTAATAATAATATTGGTAATTGAAATAATAATATAGCTCTTTATGAACAATTAATAATATTTTTTGTTTTTAAAAGAATTGAATAAGGATCAAATACCAGGACTATGTGGTCTAATGGTACCCGGGTTGGACTTCCATTTGGAAGATTATGAGTTCAAGCCTCAGTGGAGGCGTTATTGGTTCTTTGTGTTTCAGTAGGTTGAGAAAGTATATGAACAGATACTACAATGTAATAGAACCAGTAACTTTCAAAAAAAAAAAAAAAAACAAAAAAGGATCAAATTAAACATTCATTTGCTTTTTTACGATCAAATAATTTATGGACAATTAATAATATTTTTTGTTTTTAAAAGAATTGAATACGGATCAAATTAACCATTCAACTATCGAACTACGCAACAAACTGCAATTGAATTATCGAACTAAAAACACTACAATTAAGACTCTAAATAATGCAAAATAACGCAATTCAACCTAAAGAGACCTAATTTAACCAACTATCTAAAGGAAGGCTAACAATCACAATTCAACTTCCAAAAGCTTTACCAAATGTGCATTTATGATGATAAGACAAAGATTACCTTTTTCGGAATCAAATTAAAGAAGACGTACACAAATGTTTGCCATTATTTTGGAATTCAATGCAAAAGTTCGATTGGTGGTTGCTTGTGTATTTAATTTATGGGTAACACTAGTGTGAGTGTGTGAGACGGATCATATATTTAATTAATGGGTAAGAGTTTTGGCCTCTTTAATTAAAGATTCGACTCGTCTCACAAATTGAGAACGTGAGACGGCCTCACACAATTTTTTGCTATTTTTGTTGTCTATAAAAAAAAATAAAATTTCCTCGCACTCGTCTCCCCATACTTTGGTCTAAGATGATAGCGAATGGTAAGTTTCGGTGATCAGCTAGCGGCTCATTAGGTGGGAGGATTAATACCTGATACTATTTTATATTATTTTGTGGTAATGGGCATGTGAGAAAAAGAAAAAAAAATGTAAAAAGAAAAAAAGAAAAAGAGGTGATGTGAGCAGTGGTTTTAAACTCATTATTTGCATCATGTTTATTAAGAATGAATAATACTACATTTACTCTAATTTTCTACTCCCTCGTGAGGTGTCATCTTTTGATTGATTTAAATAACAAAGTAGATTATTATATTATTTTTATTCATCCACTTTTCTTTACCAAACAAATTTTTTACTATGCCATGGGTTTACTCCATGAGAATATATATATATATATATATATATATATATATATATATATATATATATAATTGATTGATTGAGTAGTAATAATTAATTAGGAAACCAGCATGCACATACACTCAATCATTATTGTGTGGATCATGATTGATACAAACTGTGTAAACCATATTTTGTATACTATAAAATAATGTATTTTTAGTATATTAAAAATATACTTTATAGAAAGTAAATTATTTGAATACTAAAAATACATTATTTTATATAATATACATTCAGTACACAAATAATATATTTTGATATTAAAAATGGACTTTTTTTTTATGATTCATACAACACAATATAAACTATGGTCACACAATAATTTGTCCATATCCATCTATAAATACTTGCAAGCAGCAATCCCTCCCCTTCACACAATTTTCTCCACGTATTAACTTTGTTCTTCTCCTATCAACTTTTCTCTCCAACCCAAACTTTGTTGTTTCAACTTTTAATTTCTCCCAGACCAAACATGAATTCTGCACTCATTCTTCTCCTCTTCTTCTTTTTGTAATGATTGTAATACTTGAATTGATGAGCAAACTGGCGCCATGCACATACTCCTATAAATACATGCACAAAATCCCTCCCCTTCACACACAATTCCCATGGAGTATAACTCAGGCTACAGTAAAAATTTTGTTGGGTAAAGAAAAGTGGATGAATAAAAATAGTGATCTACTTTGTTATTTAAATCAATCAAAAAATAACACCTAAGGAGGGAGTAGAAAATTAGAGTCCATGCACTATTAATCATTCTTAATAAACATGATGCAAATAATGAGTTTAAAATCGCTACTCACTTCACCTATTTTTTTTTTTCTCCCACTTGCCTACTATAAGAAAATAATATAAAGGGTATCAGGCACTAGTCCTCCCATCTAATGCACTGCTAGGCCAACAAAACTTACCATTCACTATCATCTTAGACCAGAGTATGGGAACCAGGAGAGAAGAAATTTTACCTTTTGTAGGCAACAAATTGATAGCCTAAAATCTAACTATCTAGTTTAGTGTAAAAAATGTAATTAAAATGACTAATTCAAGTATCTTTACCACCTTCAATAATTCATCCTTTTACATCCGGAAACCAACTATTATCAATACCCAACCTAACTTTTTGAAAAAAAAAAAATATCAAACATTATATATATTTTTTTATTTATAAAAAATCGTATTCTCATTATATTTTAGGTAAAGGAATAATATCTATGGATGGGAATTAAGATCGTCCCATTCAATCATGTTGGTGTAGGTATGCATGTGACAATGAGAATGAGAAAAAAAGAATGTGAAGAAAGAAATAATTAATAGGAATAAGGTTCAAATTGACCACTGAACGTAACCTGAAAATGCAATTAGGTCACTGAACGAAAAAAAAAGTGCAATTAGGCCATTGAACACTCAAAAAATGTGCAATTAGGCCACTGATGAACTCTCCAAAAGTATACAATTTTACTGGATAGCAAGTTACCATCAATTTTAGCAGGTTACCTGCTTACGTGGCAGCTTAGTTGACATTTTTAATAAATTTTAAATAATTTTTAATAATTAATTTTAATAATAAATTTTATAAAAAATTGAAAAAATTAAATAAAAAATAAAATAAAGTCGTTTTTATTTTTTAAAAAAATTTTTAATAAAAAGTTATTATTAAAATTTATTAAAAATTAATTAAAATTTATTAAAAATGCCAACTCAGCTGCCACGTAAACAGATAACCTGCTAAAATTGAGGGTAACCTGCTATCAGGTGAAATTGCACATTTTTGAAGTGTTCAGTGGCCTAATTACACTTTTTTTTTCGTTCAGTGGCCTAATTATATTTTCAGGTTACGTTCAGTGGCCAATTTGAACCTTATTCCTAATTAATATTAAATGCAATTGTTTTAACTTACCAAATTCAACTGCCATCTCGTTTTCTTTTATCGAATTTTTAGATATGAGCTTGTTCTCACTTCAACCCTTAAATAATGTTTTTACTTTTTAAAATTATGATATTTTTACTTTTTTAAAATTATGATGTCAAGTTGTAGAGCACTCTACAAATTTTATTTAATTAATACATATACACAAAGAAAATCACTTTCAAATAGAACGTGAAATGTATACAGAACCTAGGGTCCCTCTCATTAATGCGATTAGAATGGGAGGATATTAAAATCGCAATGGTACACAGATGTTTTTTTTTTTTTTTTTTTTTTTTTTTTGTCAAAACGATCTTGTTAATACGATATAAAATCAATGATGAAAATAAAGCGTTGGAGTTTATCAATGGTTATATAGGTCACTTTTGTTCTAATTGTAGTTTTATTTGAGTTTGATGGACTAATTACAATTTCATTCGTGTGTCATTCGATGACATATTTTACCCTTATTCTTAAAATATAAATGTATACTCGATCTATTAATTTAACCTTTTAGTTCATATATACTTTCACTTCATATCTAATAGTAAGTCATTTTCAAACAAAATTAAATCTTTAAAGATATTTAAAAAAAAAAAAACAAGTTAGCTAGTAAAGTCAGTTATTATTATTATTATTATTATTTATTATTATTATTATTATTACTATTATTATTATTATTATTATTATTATTAATGGATCAACACAAGAGTCAAATAAACCCATAAACTAATTTTACCCTGAAAAGTCAATTAGATCTCTAAACCTTTTAAAAGTGCAATTACTTCCTTTAACATGTTAAATTGAGGCAATGAAGCCCAAAAATCGATAAATGACATATTATTACAAGTCATTTCAGTTCAGGCATATATCTGGCGAAAATCCGATGCCCGATCGCTATATACTAGAGAAGACAACCAATTGGTCGCCTTCTCCGACACAATAATAGACGCATTTAGATAACAAATAGACACATTTATACTAGGAAATGAGTGGTTATGTCTACAAAAGTGGTCATGCCATCATAATACTATCTAGGATAAACCATGAATGTTTAAAAAAAAAAAAAAAAAAGAGACTAAAAGTATAATAACACTTATAAATCTATGACTAAAAATAAAATTAACTTTAAGAATATTTAATAGTGAATTAGAACGGAAAATTAAAATCCATCTTGCTTAAATAAAATAATATAAGAGTTAATAAATTCAACTATTTTTTGATAGATGACCAAAATTGGTCATGTCACAATAATACTAGGACCAATATATATATATATATATATATATATATATATATATATATATATATATATATATATATATATATAAGAATATGCAAAAGGTCAGAGAGTGTAAAATTACTTGTTATTAATTAAAGTAGGGAAAAGAGTGAAATAAGCTCTCAAATTTTTGCTAAAAAGTCAATTAGCCCTTCAACTTTTTAAAGATTTAATTACATTCATGAATAATTATTTGATGCAATAAAGTCTAAATACAAATAATAACATGCTACTCTATGGTCTAATTATTGGTCATGTCACAATAATACAAAACTCGCACGACTTAGCTCAATGGTTTAGTTAGCAGTATTTGGAGAAGAGGCCAAAGTTTAAACCTCGATAGTTATATTCGTGTTTACATTTGGATGCACAGCATAACGATTGGTTGGGAATACATGCTATCACAAATCATTAAAAATTGGGTCACTTTCCAGCCTACTTTTAGGCAAAAAAAAAAGTGACCATCGGATAACGGAGAAAGCAACCTTTAATTATGCCGGCTCTCTCCTCACCTACAATCTCTATAAATTTCAGTTTCCCCCAATCTCTCTCCTCACCTACAACACGACGACCAGCGCACGAACCACAAAGCTCCGCCTGAGCTTCTCAGCTTTTGCTGTCTTCTTCTCCACACATCAACCGCCACAAAGTACATAGCCTATCCACTTAGCTTACCACTGTTTGGTTTTTTGTGTTGTTTTGCTTTACATCGGAAAAGCAAAGTTTGATTGGTTTTGCATTTTTATCTTTTTGGTTTTAAAAATCTCTCAAAGCCTAAACAATTACCTAGTCCAAGCCAAACAGTATGAATTCTGCACTCAATCTTCTCCTCTTCCTCTTTTTGGCATTCACTGGAGCAATAGTGAATGCCGGTAATACAGTCCAAAAATCTATTTTCATTTTGGCCGGTCAGAGCAATATGGCCGGCCGGGGAGGAGTTAAGAGCGCCCGTACCCCAACAAACAAAACCGTCCAAGTATGGGACGGGATTATTCCACCCGAATGCCAACCCAATCCCTCCATCTTTCGGCTAAACGCCAAGTTGGGTTGGGAATTGGCAACTGAACCCCTACACGCAGACATAGATACAACCAAGACATGCGGTGTAGGGCCCGGCATGTGCTTTGCTAGGGAGGTGTTGAACCGGGTATCCTCCTCTAGCCCGCTGGGTGTAATAGGCTTGGTCCCTTGTGCGATAGGGGGGACAAGTATCACCCAGTGGAGCCGCGGCACAACATTATACAACAAGACCTTAGAGCGTGCGGCGGCGGCTCTAAGGGACGGGGGAAAAATCCGGGCTCTCCTGTGGTATCAAGGAGAGACTGAAGCTCAAATAGGTGTAGGCTCGTTCGCTCTAGAGGTCCCGAGGTTTTTCACCTCGATTCGCCAGGATCTCCATATGCCCCAGCTTCCAATAATCCAAGTTGCCTTGCCACCCACTCTTAACCTCACATTTACACAGGTGGTAAGAAACATCCAACTGGAGCTCAAACTTCCCTTTTTGAGTACAGTGGATGCGAAAGGCTTAGAGCTCAAACGTGGTGATCCTCTTCATCTTTCATCTTCGGCTCAAGTCCATCTTGGCAAAAAGATGGCTAGGGCTTTCCTCTTCAGTTAGGTTTTTTTTTTTTTTTTTTTTTTTTTTTTTTTTTTAAAATTTTAATCTAGGGTAGCATTGTAATTAATGATGTTTATAATTAATGAAATGAAGCTATTATATATGTGTGTTTGCTTCTGCTTCAATTATTGTTCCGGAATAGCTAGCTAGGAAAGTTTAATTTGCAGCTTATTACCGATATACAGTACATGTTCTTTCAATTCACCTTTATCTGATTTTTAATAATTTAAACCAAATTAATTTGTACAAGTTGATGATAAATATAGACGCGAATTAACACTTATGTTTACAAATTTATACAAAGTAAAATTATATTATAATTAAGAAACTAAAATTTTAATTAGATATTATATCATCATATAATCATAATAGTAAATGCAATTTATTATAAACTAAAGTTTTCAGTACATTCTATTCGAAATTTTTAGACGAGTTAAACCATTAACCAACTTCCTAGCTAGGCATATGAGGTGACAAGAGGCATTAATGGATTTGGTTCATGCAAAAAACATTATAGTAGGGACAAATAAGTTTGAGATTCAATATAATTCTCATATGATCAAAATTTAATTTTTACGTCAAACCATGAAACTACATAAATATTTTTTTTTTTCCTTTTATGTCATTATTATTGTTTATTGTTCCTGTTAATCTCAACAAATATTATTCATGCATTTTAATTAAATTTATCATACTCTCACGTAGTAAGAGTTTTTGAAACTTTTTTTTTTTTCTTTTAGATGTCAAGGGAACCCGCAATTACTATCTGAGAGGAAACTTATTTTGGGCCTTTTGACATTGCTATCATAATAAGGACTAGTGAATTCCTCCCTTTTTTTTTTTTTTTTTTTTTTTTTTTTTTTTTTTTTACTGTATTTCCTTTCTGAGGCATTGGCACAAATTCTGACAGTGAAGGTTTGGTTGTTGTTTTATGGCTCGTGGCTCGTGGCTAACCTGCAAGGCTGACGGTGACAAAACGTTAATATAATGGAGCTGGGGTAGACATATAAGAAAGGGAAAAGGGAATTTTAGTTTAGTCTACTAGGTTGGACCTAGACTAGGAAATGAAATAATTGTCTTCATCAAATTTCAATCCCATCTATCTATGAAGAATATTGTTTAATTTGTTGTGTTTGATGGCCTTCGTAGAATTACTTGGCATGAATTCTTAATTGTGATTTGGATTGTGTTTGATGGCCTTCGTAGAATTACTTGACATGAATTCTTAATTGTGATTTGAATTGTTTTCCTAAACGAGATTCAAATTTGATATAAAGTCAATTAAATTTTAATTTTTTTTTTTTAGTTTAAATTTGACTCCAATCCTTTGATCTTAAACTCGAACTATTTACTTGATCTAGTTCTAATTTTTTTTATTGATACACAAAATTATAATATAAGCATTTCATAATCAAATCTACTAAATTATACTCTACTAATAAGAGTCAATAAAATTAGGTCAATGTGTATCAAAATATTTGATGAAATGAATGGTTTAAATTATTTTGATTTCAGTATTTTTATTATTCTTCAACTCAATCTTTTATTCTTTCAAAAGCAACTTGCAAGCATTCAATTACGTGTAATTAGATAATCTAAATATCTAAATTACCAAACACGCAAGCAACTTGCAAGCATTCAATTACGTGTAATTAGATAATCTAAATATCTAAATTACCAAACACGTTTATGTACCCAGTTAATACTATTAAGAGCATCATCCACTATAGTGGATAATTTGAAGTTATTTCAGAATACATTCTTTCCAAACAAGGAGCAAAGCTAATGTGGGGAGAGAATAATTAAAAAAAATTTGTCCTGCAAGAGACCAGGAGAATGGGAAAATCAAGAAAAAAAGGAGAAAAAAAAAAAAGACATACGACTTGGCGCACAGCAAGTCCATCGCCGGTTCAGGGTTATATTTTAGGTTATATGAATCAATTTATAATAATGCCCTCAATATATATATATATATATATATATATATATATATATATATATATATATATTGAGGGCATTATTGTAAATTGATCCATATAACCTAAAATATAACCCTGAACCAAACAAGGTAATATTATATTACACAATCCAAACCAAACACACAAGGTAATCTTACATTCTCAAAATCTTACATAGGGAGGTAATCCTATTTCTTGGGGTAATCCAAGATTCCGTGAACCAAATGTCCCCTAAAGGTAAATCCATTCATATCCGAGATGGCAATGAGTCAAATAATATTCGGTACCAGATTCTTTAAAGTCTGATAGGACATACTCAAATGGTTGATAATTGAGTCGGACTGAAACAAGTTGTCATGAGTTATTTTCGAGTTCTAAAATCATATTTGTATTTCTAGGTAGTTTTATATATACTTTGATTTAGATTTTAAAACATGATTAAACGTAACAACAAGTGCCCCACTCGTACTCGAGAACAAATAACCTTGTTACCTTGAGTTGTAATTGTTAATCTAATTTATGTTACATGCCCAAAATTTAGACACATAATAAGTTAAATTACTGAATGAATAATAATTTCCTTAAATTCCGTTATGAAACTCCACCCTCCAAGATTGACTTATAAATTAAAGCTCAAACAAGGATGATTAGATCAAAATTATCATTGTACTTATATATGAACAAGTTAGCACTTAACGTGAAAATCAAACAGAAAAATACCCAAAACTAAAAAAAAACATACAAACATATTTGTATATATGTATAGGGAAAGGCTAAATCATAGAGCCCAAATACTCGTATGTCGATCAAAATCATCGCCCTACTTATAAGAACAAGAAAACGCATGGCAAGAGAAATATACAAATATACATATTCTTACATAAATATTAAGGAAACAATCTCAAAATGTTTTTGCGTAGATTTCATAAGTTTCTTTAGAGGAAATCGAAACGCAAAAACGCTCACCTTTAAAAGCTTATGAGCAGTAAAGTTACAAAACTAAAACTACAAAACTTTATTTGTCAACTTGCATGCATCAATCATTAGCAGTACGAACACAACAACAAAACCTAATTATTATCCAAAAAAAAAAACAACAAAAACAAAAAAAATCAGCATGACAAAATTTTGCAGATGCAAGCAAGCATCACTAGTGACTACAGAGATGAATGATTGAAGGCTTGATTCTGAAAAAAATATTTGATCCAACTTATATTACTGGAGAGTTGAGAATGGATAGTTGATTGGATCTGTCTGCAATGCTTTGTGGACGAGGTCCGTCTGCTCTTTGACATGAACCTGGTGGAAGCCGGTGGCGGTGGCGGCCGAGGGAGCACGGCCGACGTACTTGATGTCATCCATGCTGCCTCGCCCCTGTGCTTTCATGGATGTACACAGCCGCGGGGCGATGAAATGGTATGCCCCCATGTTCATAGCCTCTTCCTGGCACCAAACGACCTCAGCATCTGAAATCGGAGATTTCAAGATTGTGATTTCGAACCCATGACCTTTGGTCTAACTCTTTGATACCAAATTGAAGCATGTGTTCTATTTCAACTAAAAGTCTAAGCTTATAATTGGATTGCACGGTTGCAAGCTGATATAAATGGAGAGAGGAACATACTTGGATATCGCTTTAATTCACGTTGAATGAGGTCATATGGGAAAGGGGAGAGCTGTTCCACCCTGCAAATCGCAACATCTTTCCCTTCAACTTTCTCTCTTTCCTCCTCCAGGTCATAATAAACCTGTAAGCACCCAATTCAAGAACAAGAAAATAACTAAGATGCAAAAGGGAAATAGAACCAAACATGCATAGTTGATTGACACACCTTTCCTGAGCAAAGAATTAGGCGTCTAATACCCTGCTCGAGCTCTGAATGATCATTCTTATCTTTGATGAGTCTCTTAAATCTGGTACCCTGTTTATCAAAGCCTGGGTGGCCTTCAACATCATCAAACTCGGACAGATTTGACTTGCAGTCCTTGTGACGAAGCAAGTTCTTTGGAGACATCACAATAAGTGGTTTACGGAAATCCCTATGGATCTGTCGTCGCAGTACATGGAAATAATTGGCAGGAGTTGTTACATTCACCACCTGCCAATTGCACTCCTGAATCTGTTTCCGTAAGGTTGGTTCCATCTCGGGGATAACATACGGATTATCATCACTCATCTGCCATTAGTACATTTTTATTCATAAAGATTGATGATTTCAGGATATATAAACATATTAATATATATATACCTGGAGAAAGCGTTCGAGACGGGCACTTGAATGCTCGGGGCCTTGGCCATCATAGCCGTGAGGTAAAAGCACAACTAATCCTGTCTGCCGCAACCACTTGGCCTCCCCACTGCTCAAGAATTGGTCGAAGATAACTTCAGCTCCATTTGCGAAGTCTCCGAATTGGGCTTCCCAAAGCACCAAAGAATTTGGATTTTCCATGGAATAACCCAATTCAAATCCCAGTACACCAAATTCAGACAGAGAGCTGTTGCTTACTGTGAACATCTCCTCGTTTTGGTTCATCAGAACGTGATCGAGAGGGCAGTATTTTTCACCCGTCTCCTGGTCGTGAAGAACAGAATGCCTGTGACTAAATGTGCCTCGCTCAACATCCTGACCGCTCAACCTCACATGATTTCCTTCCACAAGTAATGTTGCAAACGCTAGTGCTTCCCCTAGTGCCCAATCAACCCCCTCCCCCGTTTCAATCATCTTTTGGCGCTCAGCAAATATCCTTTTCACCGCCCTGTGAGGCTTAAAGTTTTCTGGAAAGCTGGTGATTGCTTTTCCAACATCCTTCAAGATCTCTGGTTTCACACTGCAAACAAGCATGCATCTAAAATGAGCCTCGAATCTTGAATTATTAAAAACTGGTTGATCAACAACTATTTGACAAGCACAAGCTAATCTTACCCGGTATTCCTTACACGCGAAAGCTGTTCGGGGGACTTGAAACCGAACCAAAAAGCTGAAAGCCAGTCTCGTTTTTTAGTAGCATGGTCTTTGCTAGCTATAAATTCCTCGTTGAGAA